GAACTGAACTGTTCATCTTCCAATAGGCCTTATCCATCTGAACAGCTTTGATATATACCACAAGTGATGTCATGGTAAATTTAGAGCTGGTTACTCATTTGGGTTACCCTGGAGGGTGACCAGTTCTAACCACGATGACATCACTGAACATTTCACTTGAAATCGTTAAAAGTGAGGTTACCCACTGAGTAAAATTTTCCTCAAAAAATCAGCTCGAAAGCGACGAAAATCTTACCTAAGCTTTATTCAACTCATATTTGCATTGCATTGCGTAGTGCCATTGGAAACTGTAGGGGTACCCGTTAAACAAATTCAAAGTAAGCGTCATTTAAATGCAATTTTAGCTATCCAGGCTTCTACGGTACACAAGATGTTTTTCCTGTAAAGTCGAGGAAAGATTTACTCATTCACTGAGTAACCCCAGTTTTTGCCATTTCTAGTCAAATTCGACTCAATTTTGAGCTACTCTCATTGGCCGTGTAGTAGACTAATAGGGGGTAATTCCGAGAGTCGAAGTGATTTTTGTCACTAGTGGTGTGAGAAAAGTAACGTCGGGGTGACGTGAGTCTTCGTGCAAATCAAATGGAGACTTCACTAGTGAAAAAAATCACTTCGACTCCTCGCGCAGTAACCCCCATAGACTAAAAAAAAAATAAAATTTTCCTTACACTCATGCATATTTTAGAGGAAAATCGAGAAAAATTTTAATCACTCAGTGAGTAAAGGGTGATACGGTCAAAATTTGGTCAATATCAACTTGACGTATTTCTTTCAATTTTGCATTTAAAAAACCTGAACACCCCTCATTTTGAAGGTGTGTGTGTGTAGAATGTTGCTCCTATTTTGATTTTGGAATTCACTCTTCAGTTGTCAAAATGCCGTCCAAGCAAGAAGAGCAGCGTATCAAAATTTTGCTCGCGCATTGCGAAAATCCGAGCTACTCGCACGCAAAGTTCGCAAAATCGCTAAAAGTTGCCAAATCAACCGTTACAAATGTAATTAAAGTGTTTGGGGAACGTTTGTCGACAGCCAGGAAGTCTGGATCGGGGGGAAATCGAAAACCGGAAGCCGCTGAGACGACAAAGAGAGTTGCCGGTAGTTTCAAGCGAAACCCTAACCTCTCTCTCCGAGATGCCGCAAATAAGCTGGGTGTATCGTCTACAACCGTGCATCGAGGCAAAAAACGAGCCGGACTATCGACTTACAAGAAGGTAGTGACTCCAAATCGCGATGATAAACAAAATACGACGGCCAAAGCGCGATCCCGGAGGCTGTACACGACGATGCTGACGAAGTTTGACTGCGTGGTAATGGACGACGAAACCTACGTCAAAGCCGACTACAAGCAGCTTCCGGGACAGGAGTTTTATACGGCAAAAGGAAGGGGAAAGGCAGCAGATGTTTTCAAGCACATGAAACTGTCAAAGTTCGCAAAGAAATATCTGGTTTGGCAAGCCATCTGTACCTGTGGCTTGAAAAGCAGCATTTTCATAGCTTCCGGGACTGTCAACCAAGAAATTTACGTGAAAGAGTGTTTGAATAAACGTCTGCTGCCTTTCCTGAAGAAACACGGTTGTTCCGTACTGTTTTGGCCGGATTTGGCATCTTGCCATTACGGTAAAAAGGCCATGGAGTGGTACGCCGCCAACAACGTGCAGGTGGTTCCCAAGGACAAGAACCCTCCCAACACGCCAGAGCTCCGCCCAATTGAGAAATACTGGGCTATTGTCAAGCGGAACCTAAAGAAGACCAAAAAAACTGCTAAGGGCGAGCAGCAGTTCAAGGCAAACTGGCTTTCTGCGGCGAAGAAGGTGGACAAGGTGGCTGTACAAAATCTGATGGCAGGGGTCAAGCGTAAGGCCCGGCAATTCGGATTTGGAAAAGCGGAAGCCTAACTGAATATTTTTCCTGAATTTTATACTAATTGAACTTGAAAAAGAAATTTAATTTGATTTTTTAAATAAACGATTTCACCGATTTACACGCGTTTTCCCTTGACCAAATTTTGACCTATCACCCTTTAACCCACCTTCTACTGTTTTGAGAGAAATCCTCTGCAGAGTTAGTCTCATCAGCCGTGTACGACGGCGAACGATACACGGTAACCGCAAAATACCCAATAATGACTACAAAGTAAGCATTTTCAAGGGAAACTGGGACTACCCATTAAATGAGTTAAATTTAACTCATTTGTGAATAAATACAACTACAAAAATTAGTAGTATGTATTCATTTTTGAGTAAGAAATACTCATAAATGGGTAAACAATTGACTCGTTTATTGTGTAGTCCCAGTTTCCCTCGAAAATGCATACTTTGTTGTTAATATTGAGTCTTTTATAGTCATTATTGGGTATTTGGCTGTTACCGTGTATAACAACCGCCGCATCTACAGACGAACTGTAACAAAACTTTTTTACAGGTAAGCTCTTATATAACTTCTCGATTGGCTGCTCTCTATCTGTTCTCTGGATAGTCATAACAGACAAGCACGTGATTGCGGCCAAGAAGTGTTACAAATTTTCAATAGTTTACTAATGATAAATTACTACAATATATACCAAACAAATCTTATATCAAATTTGAATTGAATGGTGTAAAAATAATTGAAATCCATCAATGAACGGCCAAGTTATAAACATTTAAAACCTAACACTGTTTCATCACACAATTTTTTGATTTGCACCCCAGTATATTCCACAAAAATATAGTCATATTTACGTCAAAAACATTCAAGGTTAATCGCTAAATTTTATGATTTGAGTGGTTGAGTCAGTATGAAGTTTTAGTAGGGTATAGCACTACTTCATCGTAATCGCCCACTTCCGTTCTATCAAAAAAAAATTACATCAATGATTTTCCCGTGCACAAACCTCATAGGCTACTAAACGAAGCGTATGAATATTTACACTCATTGTTCTCAAATTAAAAGAAGCGCACTTAGAAAACCCAAACAAAACCTAAAAAACCCAATGGCGTTTTTATGTGTTAGGTTGGAATTGAAACTCGTAGAACGAATTTGGAATTAAGAAGCAGTGTTTTTTTCTCTGTTCGGTAGTTAAACGCCTGCGACCAGTCATTTGATCTATTGTAGTATATCCCGTGGTCTTAGCTTAGTGCATGTCGTACTATTCCATTACTATTGAAAAATGACGAAGTATTCGGTTGGGTTGGTTTTCTTTATTTAAGAGACTTTTAGCCGAAGGCTGGCAGAGTTTTTTTAAATTACAAAACAAAGTATTTGGTTTTGATACAGTTGACATTCTTGCCTTCATCGTAAGCTATTTAGAGCATCCTCCAATGCTGCGCCCCTTTGACAATCCAAATTTGATTCCTTAGCAATAAAATTAAGCAATGGCACCGATAATGACCATGCATCAGAACCCTAGTCTTAACTACTTCAAACTAGAGAACAACGAATAGAAGATTGGGAATCACAGAGATGAAAGGGGCAAGAAGCACACTTTATCAAATCCAACGGTACGTATAGAAATTTAAACAAATTTGGAAGTCATCACTCCATTTTTGGGTTCATATCCGTTCGAAAAAGGAGGTGATGCGTGGGTTTGTTCTTAGTAGGACGGAAATTATATCAAAGCTTCTATAACGCTAGGACAATTTTGGGTTGTCAAGAAGAGACATCATCGAATCAAACGTGCAAAATTGTATAGGGTACACTTCAGCTACGGCCCTAGTGGTTTGCTAAAAACCTTGAATTTTTCACCAAAATCAAAACTTCTTCCATAGGAACTTAGTCTCAATGCTGTTCTGTATGCCTACGTTGAAAACTATGGAATAACTAATTTTGAACATGAGTTAGGCTGTATGGCCAATTAGGGGAGGCGTACTTCCACTATTTTGATAAGATTTTCATCCATCAACAAAGCCTTATTGTACCCGGTCCAGTTCTCTTCACGATATAGATTGGTAAGCTGAAAATTTGAATTTCAGTAATTGAAGTAATTTTTGAAGTAATTCAATGCAGGGATAATGTCCCTAACGTCGACCTAATTGACCCTAATATTGGGCCCATACATAAATTTTGAACGAGAGCATTTTTGACAATGTTTCACTTGCATCAAAAAATATCCATTTGTATTGTTCTACGAAAAATTTAAGGACAGCAGATTTTTATCAATGGGCCAAATCTTTAGATCCTAAGGCCAGTATTTGAGCAATTTCCCCTTTTATGAAGGATTTAAAACAAATCAACTGTAAACATAATTCAACGCAAGAATTTTTAGTTGAGTTTGCCTTTCATAACATCGAAATTCCACCTCTCGATAAACACAAATGACCTGAAAGATAAAGTAAATTGAATAAACAATAAACACAGGAAAACAAAACCCCCTAAAAACGTAATAAACGGATTGATAATCTCCAACCAATCTGATTCAATTTCAAAATCAATCCCCCAACATCATTCAAAATTTACCAACCCCACCCCATGCTGTCCCCCTATCAATAAACCACAATCACCATTAATAAATGATTACTTCCTGTGCAACCATGTCCACCTACCCCACATCCATACCCACCCACATCTAAGCACAAAAACCCGACAAAATATTTCATGACCATCCGGGAAAAGAATAACAACACTTTACATGATAATTGCTGTCATATGACGACGAGAGAGTCGTGTGCCACCATCGCATCGTCGTCGTCCGTTACGAACAGAGCATGCAGTTCCTGTGAGCACCGACTCCCAGGCAGGACCAGGGATGTAAACACCAGACACTCAATCCACCCCGTGGTCCACCCATCGTACTCTTTCGTGCAAGCAGTGGGACACTCACGGTTTGTTTGTACATGCGCCCTGACCGGCTGACTTCCCTGCGGGGAGGCTGGGACCACTCACTGGAAGGCCTGCCACTTGCCTCGGATCCTGTGTCTTTGCGAAATACAAGCAACTCTGAGTATTGAACAGGACATTCCCAAAGACGGTTGTGCATTTCCTTCGCTCGAGCAAGAAATATAAAAGTGTTCGTCCACCATTTCACACCCAGAATATTGAGAGTTAAGGTGCTACTTAAACAGATGCAGGGTTTTGTGATGGGTGCGTTTTTGACGGATCCAATGGGATCAGGAGTGTGTGTTAGGGCTGTCGCCTAGAATATTCTTACATTCTCAAGAGGATATATCGGAATTCGGCAGGAAGGAAGGCTGGGTCGGGCATGACAAATTGGAGCAAACGGAAGGGATGTGAGTGCGTGTTTGTTTTCCTGAGAGAGTGACGACGACGGCAAGAATTTAATTAGAACCCAGTCTGGGCAACGACGTTCGGAACAGTGATGATTGTGCTAGCAAAGGATACGGTTCACAAGGCAGAAGCTCCTCCAAGTGAAACAATCTTCAACATACTTGAGCCGATGGCAGTCCTGTTTCATCATCCGCTAAAAGTGTTAGCAGCATCCTCTCGCGAGGGAGCTCGCACGGCCTCTGACATTCCGAGTGGTGTGTGAATATGTGACACTCTCCAAACACGAGAAGCTGGTATGTGCTTTGGGAAATGGATGGTTCCATTTCCCACTACTAGCTGTTGCTCCGCGCCGAAGATCCTTATCTGTGAGACACAAATATAAGTTTCCCTCCTACTGTGCATCTCCACTATATACTAAAAGACAATCCCAAACAACCATCTGTGGCATACGATAGTGTTAGTGTTGCAAACTTAAGAGTTGCTAGCTAAAAATAAGTGATGTAATCAACTATAAATCGAAAACAAGCATAAGCTTTGGCGAATATTGTTGTGATAAGTGGGAATTAAACGAAGAGTGACGTAATTTTCTTGTTTTGAAAAATGGCCTTACAGAAAAAGTTGTCGAACAACGAATTCGAGTTAACCTCGATTAACAAAATGAGCAACAACGGTAACGGTAGTACCATCGCCAACAGCAACACCAACGATCCTAACGGAAACGGAATTACAGGTATCATCACCAACGGTGCAAGTGGCGCTACTGGCAGCAATAATAACAATAACAACAGTAGCATCAAGATGCAGCCGAAGAAGATTCAGTTCAGCACCCCGGAGTTTAGCATTACTCCCATTGAGACGCTGCCCGGAAGCACGGCACGGCCACCGCTGAGTCGAAGAAGGTAAGAATTACATTCAAAATTAATGCGTAGAAGCGCCAATGGGAATTTCCTTTCATTCAATAGCTGGTTACGTTTGCCTTTGTATTTGGTCAGTTTTGTACCAATTCTCGTCCGTCCATTAATGATATTTTACCCCAAATGCTTATCTTTAACAGGGGTACACGTTTCAGGATATCTCTTGGATAAAATTCCACTCAAATTAATTGAGTAAATTCTTTGCTGGGAATAGATAACAAAACTGAAACGAAGCATTAGCCCTATTTTGAGAACAAATGCTATGTACAAGTCTAAACCGAAGAATGACCGATACTCCTTTTAAGATTGATTTCTCAATGTTTGCTGAACAACTTTGAAACGTTGTTCAAAGTAGAGTAGGGTAAGTGTGCCAGTTATGGAACTAGTGCTCCAGTTATAGGCCCTAGGGCCTAAATAAAATTTTAAATAACTAGCTAAGGCTGAATGTCTATATAATAAAGTAAAAGAAGAAGACGAATCACTCCCCTGCTTGATTGTATAGTTAGATTTCGAAAATGAGCTTTTTTTGCGGAGAAATCGGTGATTGAAGTCATTGTTTACATAACCAGTTTTGCCCAAATCTCGAATCACTCCAGTCTTATTCTTTTTAAATCATAGTCTTATAATAAGAACCCTTTCAGTTTGAGATTTTATGCCGGATATATATGGTCGTCATATAATTAAGTATGCAAACTTTTCACCATTAGGGGAACTGTGGATATGTCGGACAGTTGAATGTATGGTGGCTAAGCTATTGATTTCCTGTCATATCCACTTTTAATATAAGACACACACTTAGAAAAATTCATGTAAATTTAGGTGCTCTGAGACTGACATATACGCGCGTCAATTTTGACATAAAATTGAGTTATAATAAACGCGAAATTCAGCTCAATTAAACGTACTTTTAGTCGAGTAACGAATCTTTCAGTCTCAGAGCACTTAATTTTACATGACATGTTTGTTTACGTCTCATCCTTTATGTCAAAGATAGATTCCGTCACGTGTAAAATTAAGTATTTCTAAGTGTGCAGGTAATTCATTTCAAAACACATAGTGTGTAAAGCTGTCAAATGTAAAAAAAAAAATATTCATGAGCCTTATCTCAGTCGGTAAATGCGCAGCTATAAAGCTAGACCATGCTGAAAGTGGCTGGGTTCGATTCCCGGTCTAGTCTAGGAATTTTTCTGGTTGTTCTCAAGATTAAAGCAACCTGTGCTTTGCAAGAATAATAATCATCTTTATAAGTCATTAGAGGTCTGTCGAAGTATTTATAAGTTTACATAAAACAGCATTAAAAGTTTAATTGTATCCTGAAGACGTATAAAATGTTCATTAATTGACGTAAAACTTTTAAATTACTAAAAATCATTCCAGGTCGTTTGAAGTGTTAAGATATCTAAACATATATTGAACGCCCCATATTTTTTGAGCAGTTGAGTTTGAGAGCAATCTACAAAAAATATAGAGAAAATTGATAAATATTTTATGTTAAAACAATTATACTATTTGCGACATCCTGTGCTAGATTACTGATTATTTCATAAATTTACAAGCAGTAAAGATAAGGGTGTATTTTAGATATCCAAGGAACATTGGATCAATGATTCCGTCCTTCAGAATATATTTGATGAACCAAAGAAAATAAATAAAACGAAAAATAATTAAAATTGATATAATTTGAAGGCATACCAAACCCTAACCGTCAATCCGAGATCCAATCTAACGTTTCTCAAATGTGATTTGTGGTCTCAAAGAATTGCAAGGCATGGTAGTTTGTCATGAAATAAACAAACAGGCTTTACATTTGCATCTCAGAAACAGATCCCTAATAGGGTTTTAAGCAAGGGCAGTAGCAAATTATAATAAAATAATAGGCCGTGGTTTAGTAATCTAACTGAAACAATCTCTTAAAGTTTCAATTTCAAGAACCAATTTAAAGAACCATCCCTTCATTATGACGTACAGAAATTGTTAAAATGTCGAGTTAAACTTTCAATTGGCGATCTTTAATCAGATCCATCCAGATTTCAATGGTACATATTGACGCATTTCGCGCCAAATCGTATTGGGAGCTGGCAGCACCCTCTCAGATTTCAATGAAACTTTCTGGATGTGTGGACTTTAGTCAAGGTCACGCCACTTTGCATAGACTTAGTTTTTCCAAAATTTATCGAGACTAACCTTTGAGAAGGTCCAAACTTTTTTTTGTTTTTTTTTTCAAAAAAAGTATTATGGAAAAATGACAACTCCTACAAAAATGCGTTGTGTGGATGACTTTTAGGAAACTGTCCAAATTATCGAGAAAAAAACCGCGAAAAATTTCAATAAAGACCTACATTGAAAAAATCAATTTAAAAAAAAATTAGCCATGTTCAATTTGGATGAAACTTTTTCCCAAGATAGGTAATTATGTTTACTACCAACTGTCCATACATCGCGAGATGGGCACTTTTAAGGAAAAAAAAATTTCTAACAAAAACTTTTTCATGTCTGAACTTATTTTTAGGTAGTTCTGTAGGTAGTTTTATACACATAAACATCGATCGTAAATTATGCATATCGGTACTGAGAACATCGTGAAAATCCTGATTGATCCAAGGAGTAAGACAACTGTACTCAGAGTTAATGTATTTGCAGTGAGTAAATTTGAGTTACTCATATTTACTCAAAAAATTAACAAAGTAGTCTAATATCGCCGTCTGACAGAACGTTTTGATTTCAAGACTTAGTTTCCATTCATTAAAAGATTCAAGTCCTCTTGTCCAGGCTAGGGTCTGCTTATGTCTATTTGCTTTCAAGGAATTGATGGCTAAAGTGTAATATCTTTGAAGTTTTTAGTGATGTGGTGACGACGTTAGGCATACGGACGTTAGGCATACGGACGTTAGGCATACGGACGTTAGGCATAATGTACGATAGGCATAATGGACGTTGGGCATAAAGGACGTTAGGCATAATGGACGTTAGGCATAATCTACCGGATGAATTCCAGAAGGATGATAATGGAGACCGTCTATTGATTGCTGACTTCGGTGACAATAATGAAAGAGCCTTAATTTTTGGAACTCATGAACGACGTCTTGGACAGGCAAAGTATTGGGTTACAGATGGTACGTTTGCCACAGTTCCTTGTTTGTTTCGGCAACTCGTCACTGTTCATGGAAGTATCGCTCCCTCAGATCAGCAGACGGTTCCGCTAGTTTTCATTCTGATGACAACAAAATCAGAATCGTTGTATCGAAAAGTATGGCAGGAAATCCTGGAAGCAGCAGGTATGTTTTTTTGTTATTGAATGAAAAACCACAGAATTAACCATTTTTGATTTCATGGGCTGTTCTTTGGCATCATATTTTATTCAACCTTGGCTTTTTTTTTGTTATTGAATGAAAAATCACAGAATTCACCATTCTTTATTTCATAAGCTGTTCTTTGAAGAAAACCTTTTCTTCCTTGACTTTTGCAATATGTGTGTAAGAATATATTACAACAAATGTGTGATTTTTTTATATCTAGATGCGATTGATTTCAAGATATAGTTCAAAACTAAGCTGAGTTTTCATTGTAAGATTACTTAACCACTATCGCTACTAATCATGGATCTAAGCAAATATGTAGATACGTCACTTATGATATGATAAATAATGGATTCCAAATTATGTTATATTATGCCTAACGTCCGTATGCCTAACGTATTTATGCCTAATGGGGTACACTCGTGGTGATGTTAGTGTTTCCACTTCCCAGCCATTTCTGGCTACAATTTTCCCCAAAAGTTTTTCCAACTTTCTCCGGAAGTTTCTGCCAACTTTCCTTACGGTGGTGTATTTCTACTTCGCCGGATTTTTTTTATAGTTGAAGATGCTAATTTCAAATAACAGACTGTAGTGGTAATTTTATACGATAGATGTAGTAGATGAAAGCATAGAGTTGATAGTTCCGTTAGAGTACGGCAGTGTGAAGATTGTATATAGATATTAGAAAAGCGAGCTAGGACAACTTTTAAGGAATGTACAAATCGGTTTTTTCATCTCTCTTTACCAAACTCCCCCTTTGAAGAGGGATGGTGAGGGGTGTGTGTCCCCCCCCCCACCACCACTGGCAAAAAGAGATGAAAACCGACCCGCTCAAGTACCAACTGTGTGTTTGAAACAGTTCTACCGATTTTTACCGCACTTCAGTTGTTATTTGAAGGAAAGCATCCAGTCGTAGGTTTGGAAATTGCAACTATTGTTGGATTTTTTACTTATTTCACTCCGAAAATTCTTCTGACACCCTCCAGAAGACACTTTCGACTTCACCTCAAAGTTTTTTCATACCTCCCCAAAAGTCCTTTTGTCTGCCCCTGGAAGCGTCTTCCAATTTACACGGGAAGTATTTTCAGAATTACCCTGCAAATTACTCTCAACTTTTCCCGGCAGTTTCCTCCAACGTTTCCTAGAAGTGTTTACTGGCTCTTCTGGATAGGCTCTTATATTTTCCCCAAGAAAATCATGGGTTGTGCTGTCATTTTTAATATAAAAAATATGTTTTGCATGGTTTTTGTTAAAAAAAAAACTTCTTCCCGGGAACTCAAACAAGATTCCCGGGAATCGGGAAATTATCATTCTGGTAAATTTCCCGGGTAGGAAACACTAAGTGGTGTGATTTCAAGATCAAGGAAGTGGGCATTTGGTCGAATGTTTTCAGAAGATTATTTTAACTCATGAAAATTAGTACTCAATCTCACAAAATCAGTCAAAGAGGTTTCTCATCTTGTTGCAGTACATGCCTGAAATGAGGAAACTCATCATCAATAATAATTATTAATTATTACGATGTACCGTGATTAGGAAAATTTTATTTACAAGCATTCATAACGGATATACAGAAATTCAGAGTTATGTAGGGTCAACTCTCTCCAGAGACGTCCGTTGTTTCCCCTGATACTCCAAAAAAGACATCATTGGACACGAGTTGAAAAAGAGTGAACAGGAACGGGTTGA